GTAGGTAAATGTATAAAGTAGTTAAGTCTCCCAGGGCAGCTAAACAATATAAAGAAACAGTGCTTTTAGCCTTTCAACTAGCTAATTCTTTTAGGAATTATCCCTTGGAACATTCAAATGTTCATAAAAATTTATAAGAAAAAACATTTATATACCTTTTAAAATATTTATTTTATTTTATGTGTATGAATGTATTGTGTGCATGCATGTAACTGCACCCGTGTCATGCAATGCCCGCAGTCAGAAGAAGGTGTTAGATGCCCTCAAACTGGAGTTATGGATGGTTGTTAACTGCCACGTGGGTGCTGGGAATCAAACTCAGGTCCTGTGCAAGAGCAGTCAGTGCTCTTAACCGCTGAGCCATCTCTCCAGCCCCTTAAATACTTTTATAGTAGTGAAAAACAGGAAATAACCTGAAAGATTTGCTTAATTTTTATTATTTTTCCCCCTTGGTCCTAGGGGTTGAGTCTGAGGTTCCACCCATATTAGTTAATCACCTTATCATCAAGCTACAGCCCTAGTCCCCTTGGTGGTGGGGTTGTTTTTTTTGGTTTTGTTTGGGGTTTTTTTGTTTATCTTTTTTGAAACAGGGTCTTCCTGTAGCCCCAGCTGGCCTGGACTCGCTATGTAGACCAGGCTGGCCTCAAAACTCACAGAGATCTGCCTGCCCCTGCCTCCTGAGTTCTAGGATTAAAAGCATGTGTCACCATGCCTGGCTGGTTTTTGGTTTTTAAGCACTTACCTACATGCAGGCAATACACTCATACACATAAAAAAATAAATAAATAAAATATTTTTAATAAACAAAAAAAAGACAGGGTCGTACTGTGCAGCCCTGGCTGGCTTAGAACTTGTTATATAGAACAAGCTGGATTTTTTTTTTTTAATTTTTATTTTTTTGCCTCTGCTGGGATTAAAGGTGTGTGCTACCACACCCAACCTACACTTGATGAATTTTTAATAAACCTACATTGTGGGACCAGCAAGATGGCTCAGCAGATGAAGGCATTTATTGCCTAGCCTGACAACCTGAGTTCAATCCCCAGGACCCATATGTAGAAGGAGAGAACTGACTCCCACACATTTTCCCCTGACCTTCACAGGCATATCATGGATCTAATGCTCCCATGCACACACATACAATAATAAATGTAATAAAAAAAAATTTAAGATCACATTATGGCCGTCCTGTTTTTTTGGTTGTTAGCCTGAGTCTTTAACAACCGAGCTATCCCTCTAGCCCAATCCTGTTTTTAATTTTAATTTTTAATTATGCATATGTATCCTTGTGTATGTATGTGTGTGTCATGTGTGTAGGTGCCCAAGGAGACCAGAAGAGGGCATTGGATCCCCTAGAGCTGAGTTACCAGTGGTTGAGAGCTGTCCAATTTGGGTGCTAGGAACTGAACCCTGGTTCTCTGGAAAAATAGCAAGTGCTCTTATTACTGAGCTGTATCTTCAGCCCTTTAAAGAGTTTCTAATAGCCTAGGAAAAAAATGCAAAAAATATGAGAAGGAACAATATATAATAGCATAAATGCTATAATCTCACTTTCTTCAAAATTTACTTTGTAAATCTAAAGAATATGTATATTCTACCAGGTATAGTGGTGATACTTGCCTCTGGGAAAAGGGGGTGGAGCTAGATGGGTGCAAGCAGGAGGGGAAATTTTCACTTTACACATTTATAAACTAGTTGACTATTTTAAATATTTTACATATATTACTTTTAAAGTCAAAAGGCATGTTTTAAATGTGTAGTAAATATGTCAGCGTAGCGCAGGTACAAATCCAGAATCTTAATTTATTGTAGACTCTTATCTGTGTTGTCATTCCAGTGCTGAACATTAATAAATACACATCTGTTAAAACCTCCAGTGTCTGATGTCTATAAAGTCTTAAGTCATAAAAATAGCCTTAAATCTTACTCAAAAAGCTGAGGCAAGAGATCTCAGGTTTGAGGCCAACCTAGGTTACATAATGAGAACCCGTCCCAGATAACCAAAATAAAAAGGATTTGAGATTATTGTTTTTCTTAATACTTTGTATTTTTCACATTTCTGTCATAATTATGAATTACCTTTATGAAAATAAGAAGTATATGGAATGGAGAATGCTGGTTGTGGTTTTGGTGGCAAATGCTGGTAGGATGTGCTACAGAGGCAGAGGCAGGAGGATCACTAGTTCAAGGCCAGCCTGGGCTACACATTGTGGGGCATGGTGGTGCTCACCTTTAATCCCAGCACTTGGGAGGCAGAAGCAGTTGACTCTCTGTGAGTTTGAAGCCAGCCTGGTCTACATAGTGAGTTCCAGGCCAGCTGGGGCTTATACGGAGACCCTGTCTCAAAAAGACCAAAATAAAGATTTAAAAACTAGAGCAATAGAAATTATCAGATTATTTTCTAAATGAAAGCCTTGAGAAAATAATATAAGTGCTTCAGCTTTTAGGTGAAATTGGTTGGGGGAAATCATTAGGCAATATTTTCTCTCGCATAGAGAGTCCTCATAGTCAGTGTATTTGATGAAGTATATAATATTCTGTGTTAATGATACAAAATCATTTTCCTCAGATACTATCCTGTGATTTTTAAATTGTCTTACCCTAGAGGTCTTAATATGATACTGCTATAACCCATGTCAAATCTGGTGTCTGAGTAAAAAATAGATCATTCCCATGTTGAAATATTTCAGCTAAACTTTATGTGGTTTTGTACTTTAGGATGAACTTACAGAAATTGAACCTTTGAGTGAGGATGCCATTATCACAGGTTTCAGGAATGTAACTATTTGTCCTAACCCAGAAGACACATGTGACTTCGCTAGAGCTGCTCATTTTGCCTCTACGCCTTTTCATGAGATAATGTCCTTGAAGGATATCTCTTCCGATCCTGAGAGACTGCTGCAGGAAGAGGATCTGGATGGGAAGACTTCTGAGGGCCATCAGACCACATGTGGCACCATTTATAATCCAACCCTTAGCATCAAGAAGCTGAGGTGACTGAGTATTACAATTTTCACAAACCCTAGTGTTTGCTGTATTGTTCTCTTTGTGTTTACCAGTTATAGTGATCAGTTATCAAGCTCGTAAAATCTGAAAATGCTCAATATGAGAGTAAGGCTATCCCAAATAAAGTGTGAGTAAATCAGTGGAGTTTTCTGATTGGTTTAGATTTGACGATTAGAGGAAGTAAATTTTGATGATTAATGATACTCAAGGGTCCAAAAGGATTATGATATTGAGGAAACTCTGGAAAATGTATGTTATTAGGAGAGGAGACATTTTCTTATTACTGAGTTTTAAATAGTAGAAGAGCTGATATTAATTTCAAATAGTCTTTGTTTTGTTTTTGGGTTTTTTTGTGTGTATTTCATACAGAACATTTCAAACAATCTTAATCATCTTTATACCCCTGTCCCCACTGGCACCATCCATAGCCCCCCCGACCCCCCCACCACCACCACTACTGGAGCTCATATATTCTGTCATCCCTGTTAAGGCCCACTGTATCATCAGTGTCCCCAGTTGTTCCCCAGTGGAAGTCCATCCACTAAGGTCTAGTCAGCCTACCTAGAGTCCCTTGTAGGAAGATCAGTTCTTCACCTAGCAGCAATCAGTTGCCAGTATTTCTTCAGATAAGATTGGGGTCTGCTGTTTACTTTCCTAGTTCTATGCTGGATTTTTGTCAACTAGAAGTACATTAAAGAAACATTCTTTTGATAGGCAAAAATGAATTAGGAAGTAAATAGGAGATAATGAGTTTTTTAAAAGCAAGCCAGGGACTAACGCTTGCAAGCTCTCTGTTTAGGAGTTTTTTATTGTTGTTGCTGTTACATTTTGTTTTTTCTGTGTACCTGTGTGTGTGCTCCAGAGGACAGCTTTTGAGAGTGGGTTCTTCAGGCTTGGTGGCAAGTGTCTTTACCCACCAAACCATCTCACCAGCACCATTTGTTTGTTTTTGGGTTTGAGACAGAATCACACTTTGTAGCCTAGGCTAGCCTTGGACTCGTGGCATTCCTCCTTCCTCCGCCTCCCAAGTTCTGAATTACTAGCATGAACCACCATATTTGGTGATCTGTCAGCTAAATTACCTAAGCATGAGAAAACTAGGTTCAATCCCTAGTAACACATGCAAAAAAGAGAGAGGCTGGGCATGGTGGCACACGCCTTTAATCCAGCACTTGGGAGGCTGAGGCAGGCAGATCTCTGTGAGTTTAAGGCCAACTTGGTCTACATAGTGAGTTCTAGATCAGGCTGGGCTACATTGTGAGACCCATTCTCAAAAACAAAAACCAAAATCAACAACAAAAAAATAAAGAAGGAAGAAAAACTCAATCTCATAGAAGATAAGAAGGAGAGATATATAATAAAAGTCAGCTAAATTAAAGCAAGTGTGGCGCCATAGTCTTCTAATCTGCTAAGGCAGGAGGATCACTAGTAAGCCTGGGCCTATAAAGTAAGACCCTGTTTCAAAAAAGTTAAAGAAAAAATTTTTTATGTCGGGTAATTAAGCAACCCTAATCCCAGTTTTAAGAATATTCTTCAGCAGTCTATGCTTTTAAAATAGCATTTTCAAGCTGGACGTGATGGTGCACTCCTTTAATCCCAGCACTTGGCAGGCAAATCTCTGTGAGTTCAAGGCCAGCCTGGCCTACATACTGAATTTCATGCCAGCTGGGGCTACAGGGAGACCCTGTCTCAAAAAGACCAAAAAACATTTGCATTTTCAAATTTTTCTCTTATCAAACTTGCATGAGTTAGATCTCTTTTTTCCCCTTTTAACCTTTTCTTATAAACGACTAGGAAGTCCAGAGACTGGGTAAAGGGGAATAAAGTCAGTGTCACTATTTCCCAGTAGTATTGAGTAGATGTACAATAAACATTCAGTATAAATTAGCAAATAAAGCCTAAATCCAGAAATGTAGGCCTTGTTTTATCAACCAGGATAGAAGTCATAACCTAGATTCTTATTATAAATTTGGGGAAATAGCAGACTTTAAAAATGAGATTCATCAGCCGGATGTGGTGTGGTCTACATATAGTTCCAGGACAGCTGGGGCTACAGAGAGACCCTGTCTCAAAAAGACAGAAAAAAAAGAGAGAGAGACTTATCAATCATAGCAAACTATAAATTATTTTAAAATAAATTGTATTAAAAATGAGTCCAACATTAAATTTGTAAATTAAAAGCAGGTAAGATACTGTATACTATCCCTCTGAAAACTGATTGATTTCTGTTTCTTGCAGCCCAATTATTGAAGACAGTGGAGAAGCCACACACTCATCTGGCTTCTCTGGTTCTGCTTCTGTTACAAGTTCCTCCTCCATCAAAAGTCTTCAAATTCCTGAGAAACTGGAGTTGACTGGAGAAGCTACAGGTAGGGTCATGCAACTTAAGGGCAAATATCCAAACCTGTGCCTGGTGAGCATTTATACACCTCAGCAGACTGAGCTGTTTTCTTTCCTAGAGAAGGAACCATGAATTGTGATATTTCTCAAATTAGTGTTAACGTAGTTCATAAATACCTAAAGCAGATGAGTGTAGTCAGATAGGCGGTATTGATTTTGTAGTCTTGTTTTTTCCACTTTGTTCTAATTCCATTTTAATCATTATGTTTGTTGTTTGTTTGATTGTTTTCAACTTTTCTCCTCCACAGAAAATGCTATTCTGTCACCCTGGTGTTCACAATATCGGATACAGCTATTAAAAACTCTACCAGAGTTAAGTGCTTCTGCAGAGTTTTTTATAGAAGACAGACCAATGCCTAACTTGGAAATAGAGAAGGAAATTGAATTAAGTAAGTATCTCTGAGTATATGTCTGAGTATATGCCGTTTACCCCTAACATAAGTGATTTGAACACTGTAACTGTGTGAACCCTACAAATGTTCCTAGGTTGTAATAAATAGCATTAGAGAGGTTCATACTTTAGTAATTTATGCCATAGTAACAATAGGACTTTTACTTGCCTCCTTTCAGTTTTTAAACAAATGATTTTGAAAACTATTCTAGATGTTATTAAGTGGAAAATAAACTAGTACCTCTCATCCTTAAACCAGGAGGTAAAGGGTAAGGAGCTATGTATGTTCACAGTGACTTTTTAAAATGGAGCCAAACCTTCTCAACAGGTAATGAAGATTATTGCATTAAACAAGAATACCTAATATGTGAAGATTACAGGTTATTCTGGGTGGCACCAAGAAACTCCACAGAATTGACCTTAATAAAGGTGAGATTGATTCTTTTGTCATTTCAGTTACCTTGTAAATAAAGTGAATTAAAGCAGTTAAAATAATTACATCCCCATGGTACTGTCAAACTATTAGTCTGCTGACTTCCTTATTGGAAAGTCAGTGAGCCATCAAGAAATCAGTTTTAGGTCAAGATAAGAAATCAGAAATAAGAGGGTATTATGTAAAACCTTTCATTATATCCCAAGAATACTTTGTATTCTATCAATTTTATCTTTCTTAAGAAATCTGCCCTGAAATATTTTCAACTGCTTCCCCCTAGACAGGGTGTATTCAAGGCTTGATACACACCTAGTGTCACCTTGAAATGTCTATTGACCATCATTATAGTCTTATGACCCTAACCCTAGCCCCTCCCTCTATTTTGTCTTTTTTTTTGGTTTTGGGGTTTTTTGGGGGGGGTGTTTCTGTTTGTTTGTTTTGGTCTTTTTGAAGCAGCTCTCCTGGAACTCACTATGTAGACCAGTCTGGCCTTGATCTCACAGACATCTGCCTGCCTCTGCCTCCCAAGTGCTGGGACTACAGGCATGTGCCCGGCTTATTTTGTCTTTTTAAACTGTCTTTTCATATTAGAGGCTTTCTTGGAGTCTTTGGCTTTCTTCAGATATAGGTGTGGAGCACTAGAAGACGTGGGGCTCACTGGAGGTTGATGTAGCTCGGCATTTTATTGGAAAACCCTCCAATCTTTAGATAATTTTCTCTTGAGCTGATCAGATCCCCCAAAGAAGACTTACCTGCCTAGATAATATATGTGTAACTCTGGTTCTTTTAAAACTGAGTGAGGAAATTAGACTGAAGAGTAGACATGACACAGGAAGTACATCTTAATAACATTTGATATGTAAACTTTTTCCTGGTTTCCACATTTACATCCTCATGGTGTCTGGTGTCTTCTAGTCCAGGGTCCTTTTGCTTGATATACTCTAGGAAATGATCCTCTGGTCTTCTGGAGTAAGGAGAGAGAGTTGCTGACCTGGAGTCCAGGAACAGGAGGGAGAACCTGGGCACTAAGTTCCTCTTCAATTTGACTCATCTACTCTTACCTCCATTGAGCATTACTCGTACAGGGTACAAGTAGCTGAGGCTGACAGTTTTATGCCGTCAGGAAGCAGTCTTGTGTAAATGTGGCTACTGTTCAGTTTCCACCGCTAGTACCAGCTTTCTTTATCCTTCTAAGTACATTAACTCTTTCCTTTTCCAGCTTCCAGAATTTTAGTGCTTATGTCCCTTATTGTAGATTATGCTTTTTAGAATGACTTTACTGTTATATCTATAGAGTGTTAGAAAAGCTGGAGGAAATGTGGAGGGGTTTTTATTTTTTGTTTTAGATAGTATTTCACTCTGAATCCTGACTGGTCTGAAGCTCAGTATGTAGACCAGGCTAGCTTCAAACTTGTGTCAGTCTTTTTGTGTCAATTCTCTTGTCTCTGTCTCCTAAGTTCTGCAGTTACAGGTGTGCACTACCATACTTAGCTGGGTTGTTTTGTTGTTGTGGTGGTTGGTTGTTTTTTAGTGTACGAAATGATGGATTTCATTTTAACATTATATATACATATATATGCATAGCTATATATGTAATTGTACTTTCATGCTTGCTGCCCTTCTGTCATTCTCTCCCACCCTCCTTCTACCCCATTGGTTCCCTTCCTCCTCCAAAGAGTTCCCTTCTGCTTTCATGCATATGTATTTTTTAATTTTTTAATTATTTTTATTTCTTGTGTAGTATTTTGCCTGCATGCATGCAATGCCCACACAGGTCAGAAGAGGGCATCAGATCCCCTGGAACTGGAATTACTGACAGTTATTTGTTGCCTTATGGGTGCTGGGAACTGAACCTGGGTCCTCTGCAAGAGCAGGCTCTGCTCTTACCCACCAAAGCATCATGAATATGGCTAAATCTGGATTCTGCATATGATAGAAAACATGGGAAATTTGTCTTTCTGTATCTGGCTTACTTCACTAACAAGATCTCCATTTCCACCTATTTTCCTACAAATGATATGATTTTGTTCTTTATGGCTAAATGAAGCTATTATGTATATATGTACTACATTAACAAATGTGTTTTTGTGGCTAGAGAGATGGCACAGCAGTTAAGAACATGTACTGCTCTTGTAGAGGACTCAAGTTCTGTTCCCAGTACCTATGTCAGGCAGCTCACAACTGCCTATAACTCCAGCTCCAGGGGGAGCCAATGCCCCTGGCCTCCACTGGTTCCTACATGCATGCACACAGATGTACACAAGTACACACAATTAAAAATAATAAAAATAAATATTTTTTTAAAAGAACATGTTTTTGATCTAGCAACCATAACTACATGTTCTGATTACTCTTATATTTTCACTGTATCTTTCAGGTATCTTCTCAGCCTGTCCCATGGGACTTTTATATCAATCTTACATTAAAGGAACGTCTGAATGAGGACTGTGATCAGTTTTGCAGCTATTATCAATACCAAGATGGCTATATTGTTTGGTACCAATATATTAATTGCTCTACCCTTCAGGTTTGTAATAATACTAAAAACATACTATTTAATTTTATAATTCCCAAGTAAAGAGATTTATACTCCATTTATCAAAGACATTGAATACAAGACTGGCGAGATGTCATAGTGGGTGGGGGCACTTGCTGCCAAGTCTGATCATCTGTTTGATCCCTGGGACCCATATGGTAAAGAGAGAGAACTGACTCTTATAAGTTGTCCTCTGTCCTCTAGTCACATTATAAATAAATATAATTTTAAAAATTTGTTTTAAGGACTAGGTATGATGGCATGCACGTTTAATCCCAGCACTCTGGAGGTAGAGGCAGGAGGAGCTCTGTGAGATCAAGGCCAGGTGTCTACATCGTGAGTTCCAGGCCAGCTAAGGGCTACAGGGAGACTTTGTCTCAAAAGCAAAAAAAAAAAGAGAAGGGGAGAGGGGTTGAAGCATTTAAAGGCTGGACATTTAAGAGCACTTGCTGTCCTTTCACAGAATTTGAGTTCAGTTCCCAGCACCTAAGTTGGGTGGCTCACAGGTGCCTCTAACTCTAGTTCCAAAGAGTGTTACATTCTCTTCTGGCCTCCAGGAGCACCTATACACAGGTGGCATTCATGCAGGCTCATGCACATAAACATAAAAATAAATGTGTTTTTTTGATATTTCATTTTATTATTTTTATTTTATGTGTTTGAGTGTGTTGTCTGCATATATATAATAAGTACACTCATGTCATGCAATGTCTTCGGAGGTCAGAAGAGGGCATTGGAGTCCTCTGGAACTGGAGTTAGAGATGGTTGTTAGCTACCATGTGGATGCTAGAACTCAAACCTAGGTCCTCTGCAAGAGCAGCCAGTCTCTCCAGGCCCTAACATAACTGTTTTTTTAAGAGACATTTAATACAAAATTCCTGTCAATCATCTAGAAATAGGACAGTTTTTAATTTTTATTTTGTGTGTGTGTGTGTGTGTGTGTGTGTGTGTGTGTGTGTGTGTGTGTGTGTGTGTGTGTGTGTGCGCGCGCGCGCGCTCACCTGTGCATGCATGCATACACTCAGATAGGTCAAAGAACAACTTGGAAGAGGCAGCTTTTTTCTGTCTACCATGTGGATTCCAGGGATCAAACCCAGGTCCTTGAGCTTGGCAGTAAGCATATTTACCTACTGAGCCATATCATTGGCCTACAGAAAAGAATTTTACAGCATTTGTAGAGCACCTGTTATGGGCCAGGCTTATTCTTCATGCTCTTCATCCACTGTCTCATTAAGTCCTTACAATCTTCAGGGAGCTCACAGTGTTAAAAGTGGATCAGGGATCCAGCCTGCATTCTAGTGGGAAACAAAAGACTACAAAGCTGCAGTTGTCAAGATGCTGAGCTACAGATGGCCAACTTGAGAAATAGTTTTTTTCTTTCTATTTCCAGGATCTTCTGCAACACAGTGAAGTTATTACTCATGAAATAGTAGTGTTGATTATTTATAACCTTTTGACAATAGTGGAGAAGCTACACAAAGCTGAAATCGTTCATGGAGACTTGAGTCCAAATAATCTGATTCTTAGAAATAGGTTGGTCCTTTTCATTTTCTTACAGTTGTCAGCTTTCCCTGAAAACATAGATAATTATCATATTTATGCCTTTTGATGAATGCCATATATGTGAATATTATGTCAAATATTTGCTATGCAGATGTCAGTAATCACTGAGAAGAGTTTAAGAGACTTTTTTTTTTTTTGGTCTTTTTGAGACAGGGTCTCCCTGTAGCCCCAGCTGGCCTGGAACTCACTTTGTAGGCCAGGCTGGACTTAAACTCACAGAGATCCGCCTGCCTCTGCCTCCTGAGTGCTGGGACTAAAAGTATGCGCCATCACTCCTGGCTTAAAATAAAAATTTTTTTTAACACAATTGATATAATGTATGAATTCCAGTTTGTGTGGGGGGGTGCTATGGGAAGATACCAGTGGGGAAGGGGGTATAAAGATGATTAAGATTAAGATGTTCTGTATGAAATATACAAAAATTCAATAAAAAAATTTTTTAGAAAGATTTTTTGTTTCTTGAGGAAATAACTAATTCAGATAAAAGATGAAAGCTTAACTCATGCCAAGAGATGTTGGTAGGACCAGAGTGCACATGCAAATTAAACCCAGTTTATCCATTAGGCTCCAGGGGTGAGCACAGAGCAGTAAATAAGAGGTAATGCAAAATAATAAGAACTGAGGAAAATATAGAAAATATGAGTCATAAGTAAGGCTAAGACAGGCCAAGACTTCTGTTTTGTGAAAATACCAGCACATTCTTGAGTCTTGTGGTACTTGAGCAGATGGCCTGGTTTTAAGATGCTTTTTCTACCCTACCTTGTATCTTGTATAAACAGTTATCTTTCTAAAGTCAGTAATTTACAGTAAGAGCTAGAAATCTTTACTTTGCATTTCTTCTGTTTAACCTGTAAGAAGAGATTGAAGTAGACTCATAATCATAGTTGGAATGGAAATTAAAAGAACCTCAATGTATTTCTACAGTTATAACCTAAAAAACTAGAGATGCCCACCTTTTTTATCCTAGATAGTAGCCCTCACAGCCTCCCCAGGCATGATAGAGCAGCATTTCTCATCCAGGGCACCATTGGCATTTTAAATAAGACAGTTCTTTGTGTGGGTCTGTTCCAGGCGTTGCAGGATGTTTTATATCCCTAATCTCTACACCCACTCAGTTAAGTGCAGGTAACATTCCCTCAGGCATGACCACCAGAAATTCTCCCATGTATTTCCAGATCTGACAAGCCCTAGTATAATTGTTATTTTCACCCTGCTTCAACAGCACTAAGAGTTCACAGGAAGGTGCTGGAGCCCTTGGAACTTGGTATTGAAAACAGGTGTTTTCCAGCTTTCAAACTGGCATTTGTGCTACCCCTCTTCTGAGCCACCAGGGACTCCAGGAAAGCACATGGTGGTAAAAGGACATTGCTGGACTGGGATGTAGCTCAGTTTAGAGTGTTTACTTTGCATGTGTAATTCCCTGGGTTACATTCCCAACACCTGGAAAAAATAAATAAAAGGACTTTGTCAGTATTTTTTAACAAATTTGACAGGAAATTTCATGTAAAGTCACAATATATTAAAAGCCAAAAAGAGCCTTTTGAAGTCATTTAATTTATTGTGTGCATAAGGCTTTGTGAGAAAAATAAGATTGAGGAGTATGAATATTGCTCAGTAGAAAAGCAATTGCCTAACCTGGATTTGGGCTCAAGTACTATAGAGAGAGCCAAAAAATTAGAAAACTGCCCATGACAACATTATAGCTGAGTAGAGAGCTAGTGAACATTCATCCTTCTTTCTTATTAATCTAAGGCACTTTTTCTTTTTTTTTTTTTCTATTTATTTATTTATTTATTGGTCTTTTTGAGACAGGGTCTCCCTGTAGTCCCAGCTGTTCTGGAACTCACTATGTAGACCCGGCTGGCCTTGCACTCACAGAGTGGCCTCTGCCTCGAGTGCTGGGATTAAAGGCGTGCACCACCACACCCAGCGGCACTTTTTTTTTTTTTTCTATTTATTTATTTATTGGTCTTTTTGAGACAGGGCCTCCCTGTAGTCCCAGCTGTTCTGGAACTCACTATGTAGACCCGGCTGGCCTTGCACTCACAGAGTGGCCTCTGCCTCGAGTGCTGGGATTAAAGGCGTGCACCACCACACCCAGCGGCACTTTTTTTTTTTTTTCTATTTATTTATTTATTGGTCTTTTTGAGACAGGGCCTCCCTGTAGTCCCAGCTGTTCTGGAACTCACTATGTAGACCCGGCTGGCCTTGCACTCACAGAGTGGCCTCTGCCTCGAGTGCTGGGATTAAAGGCGTGCACCACCACACCCAGCGGCACTTTTTTTTTTTTTTTTGAGCCTCTCAAGCTTAAAAAAAAAAGTTTTAAGTGATCATAGTTCTGCAGTAGCCAAAAATAAGTTGGGTCTATGCCAAGGAAAAATGGGAGCAGCTGTCAATACACCTGTCTGCCTCTTCCTCCCAAGTGTAAGTAAAACAGATTCAAAAAAGATAAAACATGGTGTTTAATTGAAACAACAAACTTTGCAACACTTTATCATCTCGAAAGACAATAATGTTCTGTGGTGGCCATGCACAGTAGTTTAGATATAGGCCTGTGCCCAAACTGATCTTAACCCTTTGGGTGGACACTGCCATTACTCCTATGTGTGTGTTTTTATAACTAACCACTGGAGGGTACTGTTGGCAAAGCTAAGACATACCTGCAGTCCTTGAAGAAAAAAAAAAAAGACCAGCTATGCAGCTTCTTTCATCTCCTATTTTTATTATTTCTTTCCCTAAACCTGGGCTTAGAATCCACGATCTCTATGATTGTAATAAGAACAGTCAAGCTTTGAAGATAGTGGACTTTTCCTACAGCGTTGACCTGAGAGTGCAGCTAGATGTTTTTACCCTCAGTGGCTTTCGGACTGTACAGACGCTGGAAGGACAAAAGATCCTGGCTAACTGTTCTTCTCCCTACCAGGTAAGTGTAGGACAAGCCTCGGTAAATATGGAAAAGACTTCTTATCTTTTCCTTATGTTGATAAGCAATGAAAGCTGATGTTTATTGGTATTGACTCTCCTAGAATAGATGACCTAGTTTTCAAATATTGTATTGCCACATCAAGTCATAGGTACTATTTTTCTGTCACAGTGCTGGAGAATATACACATACATGTGCAAATTCATGGCTGAGTAACCTAAGTGCCAAGGCCATTTCTCTTACTGTGTTGTCTTTTATAAGTCATTTTCTACAGTCGTCACTCTAAAATAAGGAAAATAGCCTCCGCCTTAATACATCACACTTGTGAAGATTAGATGCAATGATGTATAGAAAAAGGACATTAGTACAATTGTAAAGTGCCTTATATGGTGGTATCATATGCAAAATCTCTGACTTAGCTCTACACAGAAGATATTTGAATATGATTGAATATGTAGCATGAACCTGAAGTAGTCATGTGGACATTAGGCCACAGCAGGCACTCATGCAAATGTAATAGGTATGCACATTTCATTTTGAAGTCCAGATAGCTTGTTGTCTTTTGTTTGTCTGTTTTAAAGATAATCCCTTGAGGGGCTGGAGAGATGGCTCAGCAGTTAAGAACACTGGTTGTTCTTGCAGAAGACCCGGGTTCAAATCCTAGCACCCACATGGCAGCTAACAACTCTCCGTAACTCCAGTCTCAGGGGATTCAACAGCCTCTTTTGACTTCTGTGGGCATTGCATGACACGGGTGCACTTACCTACATGCAGGCAATACACACATACACATAAAATAAAAATAATAAATAAAATTTAAAAAAAAAATTTTTAAAGATTTAAAAAAAAAGAAGATAATCCCTTGAATTAGCTCTTGTTTATTTCTTTGAGGACCTTCTCCCCTTCCTATAAGGATAAGAAATGGTCTGTTAGCGTATATGCCATAATATAGTTAAGCTCTATAATGCTTTTCAACTTCTTATTTAAATATTTCCATAATAGAATCAGAGAACTATTTTTATTTTAGTTGATGGTACCTTTTGTGATTTCAGGTAGACCTGTTTGGTATAGCAGATTTAGCACATTTACTATTGTTCAAGGAACACCTACAGGTCTTCTGGGATGGGTTCCTCTGGAAACTTAGCCAAAATACTTCAGAGTAAGTATTGGATGATCTCAGAGTCTTTGTCTATTCAAATAGTTTTCTGTCTCTCTTTGCCAGTCTCTACTGTGATAGTCTTAGTTTTCTTAAATATCATAATTCCAGTAATTTCTACCTGTTTCCATTAGAATATTCTCAGAACAATTAATAGAGTGTAAAGGAATTTCCAATTAAAAATAAGACACAAACCATTCAGACTTCAGGGTATCCTGAATATAGGTGTATCATATAGGTGACTAGTATGGAAGCTTCTTGGTTTAGAAAATTAGAAACATTTTGGAAGAATAATTTTCCAACCAAATGGTATTAGTTTTAAGCACCGCCCCCTCCTTTTTTTTTGTCTTTTGTCTTTTGTCTTTTTGAGGCAGGGTCTCCCTGTAGCCCCAGCTGGCCTGGAACTCACTGTGTAGACCAGGCTGGCCTTGAACTCAAAAAGATCCGCCTGCCTCTGCCTCCCAAGTGCTGGGATTAAAGGCGTGCGCCACCACACCCGGCTTTAAGCCCTTTTTTAAACAGCTGTGTTATCAAAAGTTAATTAGCATTTGAAAGCTAAGTTTCTAAATTATATACTAATTTTAGACTATTATTTATTTAATGAGTGGGTAGAACTAAACCAAAGAACAATCTTTTGGTAAAGAAATAAGTGATCTCTTCATAAGAGCTGTTTGGTCTCAGAACCTTAGTACAACCTCAAGCCTGCTCCTAAAACTATGCGGTATCTTATTCCATTTTAACTTACTTTAGCTGATAGCTTCATAACATAAGCTCACTATTAATGACTTATTGGTCCTTCTTAGGTTCGTTAGTTGTTTTTTTTTTTTTTTCAGTCAGTGTTAAAGATTTATTGCTCTCTTCCCCACTTTTCCCTCCAGAATATTAAACTGTATTTTCCTCTTCATTTTAATTCAGACCTTGGCCAGTCACATTTGTCTCGTCTATGTATTTTTAAAATAGACTTCAAACATAAGACAGAGGATTATCAGGCATCACCAGTTTGCTATGAACCAGTTAAGTCTAGCTAATACAAGCAGAAATAGGTGGAGTGAGCTGGCCTTACCTAATAGCCCTGCCCTCTACAAAAATGGAAGTTTTCAGATAAAAAGTATAGTAAGAAACAAGTAGCTTTAACCAAGTTTAGGGTTCTAAGAGAGTTGTGGAGAGAATAGCTCGTCTTTGTAATGACCTACATGCTAAGAAAGCTAGAGGGGAAAAGTGCTAGAGAGTGTTACTACATCTTAGTGTGCAGAGGAAATTCATGAATCAGATGAGAGAATTTCTTTAATGTGCATTGAACTGTGGCTTTTCCCACTATGGTAGACTTATTATTGTAGTTTTTCCCTGGGCTTTCAAAGAAATATTTGATCCCTAACCTTAAGAGTTCTAGGTGTTACCTTACATCATCTTGGCACATTAATGTACTGCTGAGTTAAACTAGGAAAGAGTTCTAATTTTCATATGCCTAATTTTATAGAAATGGTTTTATATATTTTTAGGCTAAACGATGGTGAATTGTGGAATAAATTCTTTGTGCGGATTCTGAATGCCAGTGATGAGTCCACAGTGTCTGTTCTGAGAGAACTTGCAGCAGAAATGAATGGGATTTTTGACACCACATTCCAAAGTCACCTGAACAAAGCCTTATGGAAAGTGGGGAAGGTAATTAGTCCAGGAGCTTTGCTCTTTCAGCAAGGTAGGCAGTCAAGGCTCTCATAAATTCCTGCCTGAAAGTGATGGCTGTCTTGTGGAATGCTGAATCTGTGTATGTTGTAATTTAATTTAGGGTACACTTACACACTACCAATACTTTTCTGCTAGGGGTTTATTTCTAAGTAGCTGGCAGTTTTTGACAGAACACTGTGCCTACTTCAGCCTTACCTGTTTTGTTCAAAGTGGATTCCATACAAACGGGTACTATGTTACCATTTAACCCTCTTGTTCTACTTCCCTTTTGTAATTTTGTAACTTGTGCTTTTATAGTCACAATGTGTATTATAATAAAATAGTGTTTTGGGTAAATTTGTGCTTCTAGCATTTCATCTACATTTTCAAACCAAGATAATAAATGGTTTCATTTTGCAGGGAGAAATTATTTGGCCATGGAAATTTGTGCTTCCTAGACTTTTAACAGTTGGGCTAGAAAGACAAGGTCAGCCGCTAAGAGCACTGACTGCTCTTGCAGAGGACCCAGTTTCTGTTCCCAGCACATACACATGGTGGTAACATCTGTCTCTAACTCCAGTTCCAGGGGATCCAACATCCTCTTTCTGGCCTCCACAGGCATTGCAAATAGATGGTACATATACATACATGCATGCAGGTAAAACACTCATACATATAAAATTAATTCTTTTTTTTTTTTTTTTTAAGTTTGGTCATTTTGAGACAGGGTCTCCCTATAGCCCCAGCTGATCTGGAACTCACTATGTAGACCAGGCTGGCCTTAAACTCAGAGATCCACCTGCTTCTGCCGCCCGAGTGCTGGGACTAAAGGTGTGTGCCACCAAGCCCGGCAAAAAAGATAGAACAGTTATGATAGGATTATAACAACCTAGATGTTCCTGACCTTCTGGAAGGTAGTCCAGAAGGAAAAGTAGGTAAAGTGATAACACCCAGCAATTTTTCTTAAATTTCAAGTGGCAAAGTTGTATTTTTGTATATATGGCTTATATTTAAATACTTTTGATTTTATTTGTAGTTGTTAGAAAGTGTTTACCATTCTGTTATGACATGCAGAAAGAGAGGAAGCAAGGATCAATGAAGGATTAAAAGATGGTTTTACTTAGAAGACTTGAAGAAGCAGGAAGTCACAATACAAAAATAACTTGGAAATGTGGACAAGTTTGAAAGAAAATAAGTCTAGATGAAACGCTGGACACTCAAAGGGAAACACGTGCTGCACTTGGCCTTGAGTACATTTAAAATAAGAAAAAAAAAAAAGGTAGAAAAGGACAATGAAAATAATTGATTATTTTCTTTTGCTTTGAGACAGAGTCTCATTGTGTAGCCCTCTATGGCCTGGAGCTTATAGAGATCCACCTGCCTATGCCTCCCAAATACTGGGATTAAAGGTGTGCACTGCCATGCCAGGCCTTATTTCATATCATAGCTATTGCTTCTCCATGCTGGTACCTTTTTTTCTCCCCCATCTCTGGTTGTCACTATTACTGTTCTAAGACTGCTAGAAAACAAGTATCCTAAGTAATGTCTCAGCCAAAAATACTTAAGCAGACAATATACAGTTAAAGCAGTAAAACATGATTTGGATCTGAAAGATAAGGAACTTAAGAAATACTTGCTGTCATTGAAAATACATCTCTTCAAACATCTGACATTTGCTTCATATGATAATATAAAATGATATGAAAGTATCTTTTATGTAATCCAGTCCCTCTTCCTTTCTGCCCTACTTTGTTATCAGTTCACTGCAGTGTTACATTTAAAACATTATTCTGGTGCTGCACACTTTTAATCCCAGCACTCAGGAGGCAGAGGCAGGTGGATCTCTGTGAGATTGAGGCCAGCCTGGTCTACATAGCAAGTTCCAGTCCAGCTGGGGCTACAGAGAGACCCTGTCTCAAAAAGACAAAAATTTTAAAATTAAAAAAACATTCTGAGAATGAACAGTAAATTTAGATCCTTTAACATAAGCTACTATCTAGTGAATTCTTCAGCAACCTTGACAGCACAGTTGTATATGGAAAAGTTTTGTTTCTAAAAGTACACTCAGAAGTAGGAGAATCAAAAGAAACAACTTGCAACTGTTTGGCACTTCTTCCTCCAACTTCAAATATTTGAAAAGGAGAGAAAATGATACCTTACCAATAGGACCTTATTGCCTCTTTACAGAAGCATAAAACCACAAAATAGGATCCCTTCTATTTCCCCTGCATTTTTGTTTATTTGTCTTTGAGATGGGATTGCTGTGTAGCACAGGCTGGCATCAAACTCCACATGTTCCTGTCTCAGTCTCCAGGCTCTGGGGTTACAGGCATCTTCCAAACTTTACCTTTTATTTCATACTTGTCTGTCTTGGAAGAAGGAAGCTTCAAGTGGTTCTTGACCTTGTCTCACTAGGGCATGAAGAACATAATAATGAGCTGGAAAAGAAAGATACACACCTGAAAAAAACAGAATTTTCATTTTGTTTGAAAAGAGACCATAGAATGTAGTATCACCATTCACAAAGTATTAGTACATTCACTACCTTAGGGCCCTATAGAGGCTTCATCCTCCTATAAGAAATACTCCTGAGTCTAACTGATACCAGACCTGAATCTGGAAATAGTCTTTCCAGCAGGAGGAGGACTTTAGACTATTGTCTGAGTTGTTATCTCAAGGTAGGTAGGAAAGCCTATCAAGCTTAGCATAAAGCTCTTTGAAATAACTCTTGTTGATGCCTTTAAAAGAGATAAGGTCTTAAAGCAAAGACAGTAAAGAAGTGCTTTTCTATTGCATCTGAAAATGAGGAATTCCTTCTCTGCCAAAAGTTGTTTCTAATCTGATTCCTAAAATTTGGTACACTAGAGAGGAGGCTACATTTGAAACATTTTTTTTAATATTTTTATTTTCTGTGTATGAGTGTATTGCCTGTATGTATATAAGTACACCTGAGTTGTGCAATGCCAGTGGAGGTCAGAGTTGTGCAATGCCAGTGGAGGTCAGAAGGTATCAGATTTCCTTGGAACTGGAGTTACGGTTGTTAGCCACCATGTGGGTGTTGGGAATCAAACCCAGATCCTTGGCACAAGCAGCCAGTGCTCTTAACCACTGAGCCATCTCTCCAGCCCCTTGAAACATATTTTTAGCATGGCTAACTTTGACCTTAATGAGGTCAAAGACATAGAAGCTATGAATATTTAACAAGATAAAGATAGAATTTTAAATCAGCCTGGAAAAGGATGGACTGCTCAGTACTTGATATTGAAACAATGGATTAAAGCCTCACTAGCCCATGCAAGTTAAATAAGGATTCTTTACCCCAGTGGAGTCAATATTTCCCAATGTACCACAACTGAAGTATATTCCATCCCCTCACCACCTCTGCATGGTGCCTTGTACAGAGAATAAATTTCATAGCTATATGTTGTGGTCTTGCCTGCTCTACTCCTTGTCCCTAAAACCAATTTGGATGGTCAGTTTGTTGGTTGCTTTGGTTTGGGTTTGGGTTTTTTTTTTTGGTGTATGTTGTGTTGTGTTGTTTTAAGACAGGGTCTCCCTGTAGCCCCATCTGGCTTAGAACTCCCTATATAGACCAGGGTGGGCTTGAACTCACAGAGATCTGCCTGCCTCTGTCTCCCTAGTGCTGGGATTAAAGGTAATTGGGCTCCATCACACCTGCTATATAGATCAAAAAAATTTTTTTTTAATTTTTTTTGAGACTGGGCCTCATGTAGCTCAGGCACGTAGCCCAGAGTGGTTTTGAACTCTGGAACCTCCTACCCACTCTCTAAATGCTGGAATTATAGGCATGTACCACAACAACCAGCTACAAATGTAGAGTATTGTTTTTATTTATTTATAGTAGCTGAATTTGAAAATAGTGAACCTGCAAATATGAAGGGCCAACGGTTCTTGCAATAAATGTTTGCATCACCTTTCACCTGCATTATCTCAGGTTCTAGTGACTGCTTCTCCCACATCCAGCCATCTCGGAACCCTTCAGTGGGGTCCCATCCCACATGGCCCCAAATCCTAAGAATTCATCATGGTCTACAGAGCATACCTGACCCACTGGAATTCTTTCCAGTCCTGTGGATGACCATTGTTTTCTTCCCTTCAAGAGGGGCCTTCTCAAATTTCTACTTTAACAGGGAGGCCCTCTCTGGCCATGTTATATAATGTCGCATCCCACAGATACTCATACTTTCTATCCCTTTGCCCTCCTTTGTTGTTTTTCCTTAGCACCTACCACCATCTTCTATGTATATGCATGTATACACACAGTATGTGTACACATGTGCTTGTATATACTCCTTTCTTCCTCCTGTGTCCCACTTCTAGAATTTAAACTCCTTAAAGACAGGAATTTACATTATTTCTTATTCTAACTTTAGTGCCTAGAACAGCACCCAAATAAATAAAACTCCCCTAAAGTACCAAAAACTGAAGATGAAAAAGAAGAAAAATAGAGGAAATCAACAGCCTGCCAATGATGTCATCATTCGCAATAAATGACTGAAAATTATGTTGTGAGAATGAAGGGACACAATCACTCATTAGCAGCGAGTTGTACTTTGGTTCATTCTTTTTTTTATTTAAGATTTATTTTTATTTATTTGCATATGTGTGTGCTTGTGCAAGTTTGTGTGTGCCACGTGTGTGCAGTTGTCAGCAAAAACCAAAGGGCATCAGATACCCTGGAATTGGAGTAGGAGGCTGCCTGATGTGGGTTTGCGGAACTGAACCTAGATCCTCTGCAAGAGCAGTAAGCACTCTTATCCTCTCTTGAGTATCTCTCCAGCTCCTCCCACCCTCTGCCTGCTGAGGCCAGAGGTGTCAGATTCCCAGAAGCTGGAGTTATAGGCAGTTGTGAGTTGCCCCCAACATGTGTGCTAGGAACTGAACTCTGGTCCTCTTAACCGCTGAGCCATCTCGCCAACCTCTGGTTCATTCTTAAAAGTTTTTACTAAATTTAAATACTCTCTTTCTGAAAAAATTCTCAAAGAATTTATATTACCAAACATTGCTACAGGTACACAAAGAGAAGGCACTGTTTCTAGCAGCTGTCCTCACTGCTTCCAAGACCCATTGACTCCAGTGGGGTAATCTAATCCATGCTTCCGGGTGCTTACCATCAACACTAGTTTGCTTGAGTCCTTAAAAATGACAGACCCTAGGGGCTGGAGAGATGGCTCAGCAGTTAAGAACACTGGTTGCTCTTGCAGAAGATCCGGGTTCAAATCCCAGCACCCACATGGCAGCTAACAACTGTCCATAACTCCGGTTCCAGGGGATCTGACAGCCTCTTCTGTCCTCCGCAGGCATTGCACAACATGGTGCACTTACCTACATGCAGG